GGCCGGGGGTGCCAGGGGCGGCTGGACGGGCGCGGGGAATATTTCTGCCCCACGTGTCAGGGGGGTTAAGCCTCCCCCGAGGGGCAGGGCGCTGCTGTAGCCGGCGCTCGTGTGGCACCCGCCCCGCAGGGGCCCGGCGCGAGGGTCTTGCCCCCGCTCAGCATCAGCCCCTGGCTGCACTGGGGCAGGAAGGGATTCCCCCTGCTCCGGGGGTTGCCTTCGCGGCAGGCGTGGGCCTGGGCTTTCGGGAGCGTCCCTTGCAGCAGCCGGACGTTGGCGGCCGCGGCCCCCCTGCTTTCCCGGGGGCCGGGGCGGGCGGCTGTGATGTCTGGGGCCGTGTCGGGGTGACTCGTTTTGCTCGGAGCTCGGACACAGGGTTTGTGCTTGCTGGTGTGCACAGGCCTGGTCCTGCCTCAGGCAGGGACTGGGCTGGATGTGTCCCCGCGGCTGCACCAGGCAAGGAGCTGGCCCCCGGAGGGACGGTGTCCGTGCACGGGGGCAGGGGCTGGGGGCACTGCCACAGCCCAGCCTGGGGCCCCTGAGGGCCGCGTGCAGCAGGGCGGGCGCTGCCGGGTGTGGGTGACCGTCGCTCGGGGTGCTGACGCCTGAGCCCCGGCGGCCTCTGTTCTTTCCAGTCTCTGTTGCACACGCATGTGGCGAGCAAGGCCTGGCCCTGGTCGTACCCCTGCCCTGCACTTGCACGCGGGCGGCAGGTGAGCGTGCCCTGAGCTGGGGGGGCTCGGGGGCACCTGCCCCGGGTGGGGCAGCAGCCAGTGCCTCTTGCTGGCTGCCCCACCTTCCTCTCAGCTGGGTCCCGCGTGGGCACAGCAGGGCCCAGGCCGGGCTGCAGCTGCAGGGACCTGAGATGCAGAGAGGGGCTGGAAGCAAAGGCAGGGCCAGTGCAGGGGGGCTGCGGGCACTGGACGTGGGTGCCTTGCTGGACGACGGGCTCCGACGTGGGGTGGCCGGGCTGGCGAGTGGAGCCAAGGGGCCTGCTCCATGGGGCGGGCAGGAAGGAGCTTCACCTTGTTCTGCAGGGAGCAGCTACCAGGGCAGGAGGGACCAGGCTCCCTGCAGCCCCTCTGACCCCGCCAGGGCCGGCGTTGCCGTGCCCGGGTGGGTCCCGTGTGTTGGCCGTCCCGTGGATGGTGCGTGCGTGCTGGTCCCCACGCCGCCTCTCGCAGACTGCACCTGTGCCATGACCGTCTGTGGACCAGGCCGCAGCAGTCTGTTGCACACGTGGTGCCTGGCTCTGTGGCACGTGTGTCCAGCCAAGCCTGGGGGAGGGGGTCACTGGGGCAGGGACGGAGATGGGTTTGGGCTTCCCTGCTGTCCGGCAGCCCCAGCCCCACCGCTGGCCGCCCCGTGCCAGACGCCTGCGTCCCACGCAACGGGGTTCTGGTTCCATCCCCGTTGCATTTACGCAGGGCTTGAGAAACTGGCTTGGCCCGTCTCCCCCACCCCTGAGGGGGCACCGGGACAGATGCGCCCCTTGTCCCCGGGTAGGAGCGGGCAGACGCCTCTGACCTGTGCGGCCCAGCGGCAAAGCCGGTAGCTGCTGGGGCTGGGGCTGGGGCTGGGACAGGGCAGGGCGTGTGCAGCACCGAGATGGGGAGGTGCTCAGGTCCAGCCCCCCAGGACCGTGCTGCCTCAGTTTCCCCACAACCTCCTTCCCTCCAGGTGGGGTGCAGACAAGCCCACCTGGGCAGGCGTCATGCTAGGAAGCTCATGAGAGCCTCTGGTCAACAGCTGACCGGTAGAGATGTGCTGAGGGGCATTGGCATGAGAGGGCCTGGTCAAAGGCCATGATGTGTCACGGATCCAGCTCCGGTTCCACCTCCACCTCCAGCAGCCTGTGTGGCGGGGCCGTGCCCTTACCCCAGGCACCCATATGCCAACCTAAGGATGTCACAGCCCCTTACAGGTGGGGAGGTGGAGCTGGCATCTAACCTTCCCCAGGGCAGAGCTACGTCCCCTGTGCAGACGGGAGCCCTGAGCCAGCCAAGCAGGAGCCCAGGCTGGCGTGAGTCTACGGCTTTGCAGCCCTGGGCCTGGCACGAGACGTCCTGGTGCCTTCAGGAGGTTCTGGGGCAGCCTGGGGACACCGGAGCCTCCTCCAGCTGGTGCTGGGCTGTGAGCGGGGTCAAGCCCCTGCCTGGCTGGGCCGCTGCGGGCTCTGGTTCTGCAGGGGACAGTGCCCGAGTGTGGCCCCAGGGAGCACGGGCTCCTCCCCTTGTGCGCGGCTGAGATGCTCTGAATTGGGGCCCAATGTGACCCCTCCTCAGGCCAGAGCCACGTGGGGTGTCACGTCCAGGGGGTTGGTGGAGATTGGGGCAGGGGCTGGGTGCCAGGGGCAGGGACCTTGCAGGGCCATGAACTGCCCTGTGTTTTGTCTGGCAGGATCGGCGTTGACCGGAGCTGCCCCCGCACTTGGGGCACATGCCCGCCCGCCCGTGCCTGCGCCTGGAAGATGACCAGGCTGCTGCTGGGGGTGACGCTGGAACGCGTGTGCAAGGCCGTGCTGCTGCTGTGCTTGCTGCACTTTGCCGTCACCGGGGTGCTCTACTTCGACGTCTATGCCCGCCACCTCGACTTCTTCAGCCGCTTCAATAGCCGCAACG